ATATTTAGCACATTGTGTAATAATTGATAAATAAATTTTCCCTTTATCTTTGTGGAATAATTGAAGACAATGATAACAATAATAAATAATCCAGTCTCAAGAAGTTATAGTTGTCGCAATGCAGAAGAATTTTGCATCAAATGATAAGCGTTATTTTTATAAATGCTAGATATGCTGGTAATGGAAATCTTCACAAGTTTTTAGGACAAACTACTTTTTAAATTCACAGAACAGAATACGTTTATGCAGACTTTCATAGCGGTAATATTTTACAAGATGAAAGCATTAGTAAAAATATGCAATCCTACATCTCAGATCTAGGATTGTCTAAAAAGGATGAAAATGATTCAAAAAAGTATGATTCCTTATGCAGCACCAGAGGTTTTATTAGGTCAAAAGTTAACCAAAAGCTGCTGATATTTATGGTTTTGGAGTTATTATGTCAGAGATGTCAACTGGTCAAAGATCAGGGATGGTGAAATGACCCAAATGACCCAGATGACAAATGACTAGTCATTTGCCATTTCAAGGCCAAAATGACCTTCAATATTCAAGCTATTTATTTTCGTTAATACTTATTATTATACTATCTTTTTTATTTAATTGAATTCATATATGCAATTTGTATATACCTAATTATGTTCAACTAAAAATCCTAGGTAATTTTCTTTTGTAATTCCATGCTTATCACGTAAATGGTTAATAAGATTTGATGTATTTCCACCTTTTCGACTATATGGATAAGGGTTTTGTCGTGTACCAGCTAGATTAGCTTCACATATTTTACAATAAGCAACAAAAGGGTCGTTTGGATCTTGACGACAAAAATAGGTTGTATGGCTACAGTTGTTACGAAGTTTAATGCTTGTTTTAGTGGAGGTTTTATAGGAAGCTTTTCACTTTTTCCGAACTAAACTATTGGCGCTTGAAGCTGATGGTGTTGTTGATATGGGGTTGTTGATACGGTTTCAGTTTCAGAATTATTTTCAGAAGACAAAGATAAATTATCCTCATTTTCCATTTTATTTGGCTTTGAACTGTGTGAAATAAAGAAAAAGACAAAGCAACTTGCGCCCATTCCATTTGAAGCAGAGTCTGGTAATCCAACAATTACTTTATTGGTCAAATTCAAAACAATAATGACAGCAGCATCATTGTATGTACGCGCATATATTCATACATTCAGTGACAAAAACATTCGGTCAAGGACAAAACTATTTTATCGTTATAGAAACTCTATAGGTGGTCGAATGCTATTCTCTTTATTTTAATTCATATTTTATACTTATTTTTGCAATATAATCTTAATTATATTTAAAATTCGCTACGCTTTAGCTGACCTCTTAATTTAGCACATTAAAAAATTTTTAAAAAAAAAACAGTAAGTCCCATTATAAAAATTTTATTCACTATAATAGAAATCGCAAATAAAAAATGCACTTATTCCTCCTCATCTTTTTCATTTTTAATTGCCCCAGTTAATTCAGCAATTTTTTCAACTAAATTTTTAAATTCTTTACTCAATGTATCAATCTTTTTATCAACATTATCAATCTTTTCTTCAATATTATAATCACATTCAGCAATTTTAAGAATAGCAGAAGACAAATATGGCCGTGATACGTCATCAATATCATCATCTTTTACTCTCTTAACGTATTTTTTAAGTTCATCAACCAAAGCTTCATAATACCTTAAAAAAAAAAAATTAATATTATAATTTACAATTAGTCGAACAATATAAAACGTAATTACAAGATCTCCGGAAACCAGTTTTTCTTTCTTCGTTGATAGGGTAACATCCAGAAAAGTTCAATTTTGGATAATATCTAAATAATAAAGATATTATTATTAATTAATTGCTTAACTACAAAATAAAGTAAACAATATACCTCTCCTCTTAGTTTTAAAAATGATTCTTCATTATTTGTTTCATCAATCACAATCCCAAGCAATCCAATAAATAAAATTCATCAAGTAAATTGTTGTAAAAAATGAAAACATGATCAGCAAAATCACCAATGTCCAATTTTTTCTTAAAACCCATGGTGAAACTGCGCTCGAGTCACCTAATAATGCAACAAATTAATAATGATTTGCATGCTAATGTCATTACTATATATACAGTCAAACCCCTCTATAGTCACCTCCTCTATAGTCACAAAATTGGTATAATTATAAATTTATTTTTACCAATTATTTATAACTATATAGAAAATACCTCTATATTAGTCACACATCTTTACAATCACGATTTTTTGTATCCCGAAGGTGTGACTATAGAGGGGTTTGACTGTATATAATACCTGTTAATATAAAATACACTGCAATAATTGTGGTGTCAAATATAGCAAACAAGTTGGTATTTTCATCTGGAGTTGCGATAAGGGATGATCCGCCAATAATGCCATCAGGTGATATCGATTGATATTTTGTAACAAGATTCCAAGGATTGTTAGGATCATCTGCAATGCATGAGAAAAGGCCAAAACGATAATGCCCAAAACGACAAGGAAAGAAAAGACACGTTGCGCAACACCGATTATAATTGCAAAATATGTTCCGAAATATTTGAGAGCTCGAAGAAACATTAGAAATTTTAGTTCAAGTAAAAGAGTTGATATAGTGATAACCCATATTGACAGGATTTTATCAAGCAACCATATTAATGAAGTTATTGTCGAAAATAATATCGAAGAAAGATCTGTAAAATTAAATAATTTAATTTAATTTATCATATGTTATAATTTCAGACATAGTATTGAATATCAGAATTAAATATATATACCTAACCAATTCCATGGACTAGAAATGTATGATATTGGATCATGAATAAATTGTCGAACTTCAAATGTTAAATGGAGTAATCCAAATACAATGGTGGCTTCTAAAAGAGCTGCTTGACTATTCTAAGAAATTTTATTCTGCGGGATTGTTGCGACTATTGTAAAACAACATAAAAATATTGTATAAAATATCCATATTATAAAATAATAATGTTTACCATAGGTTCTCCATTTGAAGTTGACGAGAGCTTTAATATTCCACCATTTATAATATCCAGGGATATTCAATGAAGTAAAAGGATTATTAGGTAAATTGATTAATTCTCTATAAGTAGAATAGTTTTCTGTCGGGTATGTGGCAAAATTTAATAAAGGAATCATCAACTTTACAGTTTTTTGTGTATGAGATAAAATAAAATGAGTATATTGAATAGGGAAAGTTTAAAATTTTATAAATTTGAAAATAATTCTTTTCTAATCTTTTCCAACTATTATAAATCCAGAAAAAAATACAATCATAGAGTGAAGTATTTGATAAACGTGGTAAATGAAAATAAGTTCCGCAATGTTCGAGATGTGACAAAGTAGAAGAATTATCGAAATTATATCCAAATGCGTCAGGAATCAATAGTGCATTCTGAAATAAAAAACGTTCTGTAAATCTAAAATTTTTGTCATATGATTCTAACACTAAAAGTCGAAAATTAGTTATATCTATCAATTTAATAAATGTGGAAACATCACCTTTCTCAAGGCTTACCGAACTTTGCTTAAGGCAATATTTAAAAAGACTCTTAATTTCGTCACTTTTTTTTCTTTGATATGTTTATTATTATATTTTGCAATTAGTAAAACGGAAAAAAGATAACTGAGAACGTCATTGTCAAAGACTAAGCTAACAAAACCTTGCCAAAGTTATTATTAGCTTTAAATAAGCCTTTTAATCTATTTTGCTTCGAATAAAAAATATATTGCAATCTATTGAGCTATATTACCTGAGGTTTTCAATAATTTACACTCAATCTGAAAACTGGTATTTGTGGTTTTTGTGACTACTACCATTACCTACTCCTTGCCTTTACAAGGTTCATTCTGATCTCGATATTCATTTTCAACTGGTCTTTATACTGATCTCTCTCTAATTACCAAACTAGTTAGCCCAGAAGAGTTATTGTATCTAGACTCTAGGTGCCTTTTGATTTTACTTCCTTTGGTTCTGAATTCCGTAGCATCAGATCTTTTCCTCTAGTGTAACTCTGGTGGCCAGGTTGGTAGACTCTTCTTGTCCCAGAGTTGTTCATTTGGTTCTTCAGTTTCTGGTTCTAATTTTCTATAGTATTGTCAAAGATCTTTACTACTTCTCTATAACTTCTTTATACTCTATTACTTTATTAATTGTCATATATATTTATACAAATAACTAACATATATATTATATATTTAAACAAACTTCTCTTTATCTATACTTTATAGATCTTTATAAAGTATTTATACAATTTAGATCAAGCTTACCTAGATTTGTATAAGTAAAGACAAATCTAGATAGGTCTTGACTACTCTAGTAGGTTTAGGTCACAGATAAATTTTTCTCTGTCTAAGCTCTTATTCTTGCATGTAATTTTTATTTTTATTTGTATCAGTACAAATAGTAGTAGCTTTGTAAATTTTTATATATAGTGGTTTAATGGTTAGCTCTAACCACAACTGAAAGCCTCGGTAACTATATTTTAGTAATCTATATTGTTACTATTAAAAAATTATTACTAATAAGATACGAGCAAGGCCTCATCTTAAAACCAAAAAAAA